CAGAGCAGGCATTGCCAGTGTCCTAAAAATGAAGCAATGAAAGTACCTACATTAATGCTTGGTCAAGGATCACCCTGGATTTCCTAACTGAAATATCCAGGAATCCATTGTCCTTTCCTTCAGTTGCACTGCCAAGGTTCAGGCCCTCACCACTTTTCACCTGAAGTGTTGCCATACCTTTTGATATGTGGTCCTCCCTGATCTCAAGGGCTTTCCTCCACATGCCAACAAAGGTCTCCTTCAAAATCAAACTCCTTCAGCTCAAGCCTCTGCCTCAGATCTCATTGGCTAATTATTCTTTAAAGGATCCTATGGAATCCCTTACTCATGGCATAAATTGGATTCCAGTTTGTCTTTCTAGTTTTATTGCCTCACAACCCTCCATCTGTCAACACTATAGTCATTCTTAATTCTAGCTATGTTAAACCATTCCTAGCCATTAAGTCTCCTATATGTGTCTTTGCTTATTTTATTCTTTTATCCCCCAGAATGTTCTTCCCAACCTCACTGAACTACATCAGGTGCATGAACAAAAGGTTGCCTTCCCTGTAAAGTCTTCCATGTTCCCATGTCCCATTTTGAGTGAGTCACTTGCCCTGTTAAGATTTCACTGTGTTTTTTTTTTATTACTGTGTTCACAATTACATTATTATAGATTAATTAGTTGCTTATAAATTCCTAACCCCTCTAATTAGTGAGTTCCTTGATGCCTAGGTTTTAATTTAACTCATCTTCACTTATCTAGGATTGAGCACACTTTCAGGGTCTTATAAATATTTGCTGAAAACCTGGAGGAATGTAGGGTAGAGGCAGGGCAAAGGTAGGACTAAAGAAGGGTTATCTGTCTTCAACTGCATAAGCTGCTAAACTTGAGTATGAACTGAGAAATGAATCAATTTCTTGAAATAGTTTATGTACATTTTATAGACTAAAATTTAAAGTGATATTTATGGATGTGTTTTATTTAAAATATTGGTTTAACACATTCAAATATCTTCCAGAAAAAAAGTAATATCCAATTTTCCTATGCAATTATTTTAATAACTTCCAATATTTTCCCAACTATTGTATAAAGAATCACATTTTCTTGAATAAAAACAGATCTTTTTGAATAAAACTGCAGAGTTTTGGTAAGGAGACATCTGAATTTAAATACCATTGTGCTTTAAAACTATTATTAAGTACTCTGAGACACCACCATGGGGCTAACTTTGGGTGCCTATCAGGGTTTCTACTTGCAACATTGGGTCTTAAGGAGTGTGCCAGATATGATCCCACCTCTAAAGCTCAAATACACAATTAAAAGATAACTTGCACTGTAATGAATGTTGATAGTTTCCTCAAAAGTGGTCCTTGAAATTTCTCAGAGGAAATGAGTTTGCTATGACAAACTGAATTGAGAAAGTCTGATTTCAACTATTCAGAAACAAAATTTCTAGAATTTTTAGCAGGTACATTTTTTCTGTATAAGAAGTCTTATTGATTAAGGTAAGATCATTTCTAGTAAAATTTTGGGATACATAATAAGGTATTTTTCATCAGTACTTGAAGTGAAAAGTCAGTTACTAAATAAGAACTACCACTCCAAATATGGTATATAGCGATAGAGTCTAAAAATACCTGCTTCTATACTTCTCTAGTTCAAAGCACTAGTCTAACTAATATATTTCATTAGACAGTTTCATGAACTTGTTCATTCCCTCCATTACATTTCTAGGCTTTCTGACTATGGTGCATACAATTGTCGGTGAGCGAAGCACAGGTTAAGTGTGTATGACACAGATGAGCCCGGGGATTAAGTATACACTGAAATGCACGTGGATGTTCATGATTTAAGCCAATGGACTGTGGCCTGAAATGATGTCACACGAAGTGGAGCAGTAAGTGGAAGGTTAAACCTACTTGCATCTCGGCTCATTAAACGCAGTTAAAGTGCAAATCCCCTCATTCTGACAGTAGTGATCACAAGGGTTCTCTTTCTGGTCACAGCGCTGACTTTTAAACCCCACAGAGCATCTGCAGAATTTCAGTAAAATACAGCCAAATAAAGCATCTGACTTGCTATTTTTTGTTAATATGTTTCAAATTTACTTCATACAGAATATGTGATTAACATTGTTCTCAGGTATGCTCACTTCTCTCTCATACAAACTCATCACATGCTACTCTGACGAGGTGGGTACAGAATGCAGGCATGGCTCTTATGTGGGCATTACCCTTCTGGTCAAGCAGGGATAAAGGAAAACTCAAAGTAGAGGACACATAAGTTGAATAGTTTTATTTCAAATTGTCCATTCTGGACTATTGGTTATTTGAGAGGAGGAAATATTAAATTCCAGATTTTCTTAAAGCAGAGAATCTCCAATACTTTCCAAACATTTAGAAACCCAGGTTCGAGTTAATGTATTACAAAGGAGCAAGGCTTAATAGGTCTGCATAATACAACACTCTTAAAATGAATACAAATATCAAAAGCTTTATACACTTGAAACTATACCTAAAAATCTTTCGAAAAGAATGACCTTAAGTACTGAAGTATTCATAATAGGATCATATCTGGGTTTCACATATCTGAATAAAGTCAATAAAACTAAAACAATTTCGCCCAACACTTCCAACTTCAAAAATCTATGAATGTCTGAAATGGGTATGATGCTAAAATTTAAATGAGTTCTCCTTATGAAGTCACTAGCCAACTGATGAAGGAGGAGATTCTGTAGCACAAGAGCCAATGAGAGAAAATACCTGATCAAAGGTGTCCATAAAATATTTATTAAAATGTATTTCCCCCCAAGAAAGGAGAACAATAGAGCAGGGATTCCATGTACAACCAAAGTCATACTATTAAAAGCCCACAAAGTTGTAAAATACTCACAGACACACAGGTACATTTGTCTCAGGGTCCAGCTGACATGTGCCACCATTGTAACAGTAGCCGTCACATAACTGACAGCTAGAGGCAATCTTTCCATTGGTGCAGCTGCAACAACAAAGGAAAAGAAATCTCATCATTACTGGCATCATCATTGTTTAAAGCTGACACAATTATAGACTAAAATTTAAAGTGGTATTTATGGATGTGTTTTATTTAAAAATATTGGTTTAACACATTCAAATATCTTCCAGAAAAAAAGTAATATCCAATTTTCCTATGCAATTATTTTAATAACTTCCAATATTTTCCCAACTATTGTATAAAGAATCACATTTTCTTGAATAAAAACAGATATTTTTGAATAAAACTGCAGAGTTTTGGTAAGGAGACATCTGAATTTAAATACCATTGTGCTTTAAAACTATTATTAAGTACTCTGAGACACCACCATGGGGCTAACTTTGGGTGCCTATCAGGGTTTCTACTTGCAACATTGGGTCTTAAGGAGTGTGCCAGATATGATCCCACCTCTAAAGCTCAAATACACAATTAAAAGATAACTTGCACTGTAATGAATGTTGATAGTTTCCTCAAAAGTGGTCCTTAAAATTTCTCAGAGAAAATGAATTTGCTATGACAAACTGAATTGAGAAAGTCTGATTTCAACTATTCAGAAACAAAATTTCTAGAATTTTTAGCAGGTACATTTTTTCTGTATAAGAAGTCTTATTGATTAAGGTAAGATCATTTCTAGTAAAATTTTGGGATACATAATAAGGTATTTTTCATCAGTACTTGAAGTGAAAAGTCAGTTACTAAATAAGAACTACCACTCCAAATATGGTATATAGCGATAGAGTCTAAAAATACCTGCTTCTATACTTCTCTAGTTCAAAGCACTAGTCTAACTAATATATTTCATTAGACAGTTTCATGAACTTGTTCATTCCTTCCATTACATTTCTAGGCTTTCCGACTATGGTGCATACAATTGTCGGTGAGCGAAGCACAGGTTAAGTGTGTATGACACAGATGAGCCCGGGGATTAAGTATACACTGAAATGCACGTGGATGTTCATGATTTAAGCCAATGGACTGTGGCCTGAAATGATGTCACACGAAGTGGAGCAGTAAGTGGAAGGTTAAACCTACTTGCATCTCGGCTCATTAAACGCAGTTAAAGTGCAAATCCCCTCATTCTGACAGTAGTGATCACAAGGGTTCTCTTTCTGGTCACAGCGCTGACTTTTAAACCCCACAGAGCATCTGCAGAATTTCAGTAAAATACAGCCAAATAAAGCATCTGACTTGCTATTTTTTGTTAATATGTTTCAAATTTACTTCATACAGAATATGTGATTAACATTGTTCTCAGGTATGCTCACTTCTCTCTCATACAAACTCATCACATGCTACTCTGACGAGGTGGGTACAGAATGCAGGCATGGCTCTTATGTGGGCATTACCCTTCTGGTCAAGCAGGGATAAAGGAAAACTCAAAGTAGAGGACACATAAGTTGAATAGTTTTATTTCAAATTGTCCATTCTGGACTATTGGTTATTTGAGAGGAGGAAATATTAAATTCCAGATTTTCTTAAAGCAGAGAATCTCCAATACTTTCCAAACATTTAGAAACCCAGGTTCGAGTTAATGTATTACAAAGGAGCAAGGCTTAATAGGTCTGCATAATACAACACTCTTAAAATGAATACAAATATCAAAAGCTTTATACACTTGAAACTATACCTAAAAATCTTTCGAAAAGAATGACCTTAAGTACTGAAGTATTCATAATAGGATCATATCTGGGTTTCACATATCTGAATAAAGTCAATAAAACTAAAACAATTTCCCCCAACACTTCCAACTTCAAAAATCTATGGATGTCTGAAATGGGTATGATGCTAAAATTTAAATGAGTTCTCCTTATGAAGTCACTAGCCAACTGATGAAGGAGGAGATTCTGTAGCACAAGAGCCAATGAGAGAAAATACCTGATCAAAGGTGTCCATAAAATATTTATTAAAATGTATTTCCCCCCAAGAAAGGAGAACAATAGAGCAGGGATTCCATGTACAACCAAAGTCATACTATTAAAAGCCCACAAAGTTGTAAAATACTCACAGACACACAGGTACATTTGTCTCAGGGTCCAGCTGACATGTGCCACCATTGTAACAGTAGCCGTCACATAACTGACAGCTAGAGGCAATCTTTCCATTGGTGCAGCTGCAACAACAAAGGAAAAGAAATCTCATCATTACTGGCATCATCATTGTTTAAAGCTGACACAAATTCTCCACACGTGATAATATTCATCATAGAGGAGTCATGCAGGGGCTGGCCAAAAGTAAGTTTTCAGAAAGGAAGACTTGTTAAAGGCAAATATTTTTTAACAGAATAATGATAAAATTATTATTTTGGTAACTTTCAAATTTTCAACCCATTTGCTTTATATAAAAATTTAATTTAGCTAGATATATGTGTGAAAAAGATACACTCTAATTCCTATCACTTACATTTTGAGAAGATGTTATCTTCAGTATCTTATTCCCTTTTCCTATAACTAGAATTTGATGAGATCAGTGTGAATGATAAACTATATGATCATATACTCCCGAGGCAAATGCCTCATCCACTCCTTCTAATCTGGAAATCTAGGCCAAAGAATTATTAATGAGTTTTACTTTTCATATTTTGTAAGAAAGTATAGGATTATGCTGTAGTCACATGTGTCCCACTGCATTTCTTTGAATATGTATTGCAATTAATGTAAACCTTTTTATTCTAACAACAACAACAAAACAAAACATGGAGCAGTCCATTGCAAAAATAAATAGTACTGTTATAGGAACAATACGCAATATAGCAACAAAGTAATGAAGTAGCCTTACATGGAATACTTATGGAAATGATTCTAACATATGGCATATTTACATGTCTGAGATAAGAATAAACTATGACTATTGCTACAGGGGGAAAACAAGTATGATAATAATAGGAAAAAACAAATTTCTTATTTGCCATGTTATATTTTTAAATTAACAAATAAGTACTATTAGGTTGGACGTTAAAAATTGTTGGGGAAACAGAAAAAACTGCATTTGCATTCCAAATTTCCAAGGGACCTCTTCTATAAGAAGTCTGGTAGTAGAATTATACAATCCTGGGACCAACTAAGAATTATAACACATCCTGCCAATATTTTGATTGTGAGATCATGTTAGTACTAGGTGCTAGGAAGCAATCAGTGATATCACAATAAATCTAGACATAACCTTGACAAAGAAATCAGGCTGCAATATCATTGATTGATCACTTTGACCCTTTCCCTAATGGATATCTACTACAGTACATCCATCAAAGGGCAATTGCCAATGATAGGCTAGATGTCTGAAATATTGGTTAGCAATCCTGTAGTTCATTTATTTTGCGCATATTTGTTGGACTTCATGTGGTTGGCAGAGAAGCAAGAAATGGACTAAACTGCTTATAACTTTTTCTGGGTGCTTAATTTAAAAATATTGTTAAGGACATGAACTTTAAAATCACATTTCTTTTTAAGATGAACAGAAGCAATGAGTGAACTGGAGATAAAGAAAGTGGGACCAAATATGGGGGAGAGGCAGTGGTTTAAAGTTTCCAAGATTTAACAGAGACTATTACATCCTTTATAATCTATGAAGGCATGCAAATACAAATTCACACATATTCAGTGGTATTGGTGTCTGTATGGTAAGTGGGTTGAGGAGGCTGTTCCTTGCTCTCCATGCCTACCCTCCTTAAAAATCAAAGAGCAGAAAGTTAGTTTCTTGTTCTGTCAAAGGTACAACATCAAAGAGAAAAATAGCTCATTATGCATGAAGTGATTTTCCATATGAAAGATAACTATACACCAAATACTAGCTTTTTAAACAAAAAAAATCATATTTATTCATTGCTCTTAAACTTCTGCTTCCACAAGTAATAAAAGACGTTGCCTCTTTCTCCTAAAGGTTTTTTTTTTTGAATTCTCAATTGAAGACAGAAATTTGTACATATTTCAAATTAAAAACACAAATTCTCCAAATCATTATAATGCATCAGAATACAGTTCATTTTTTTAAAAAACTTCACCTGAGCATATTTTTTCATTGATTTTTAAAGAGAGGGGAAGAGAGAGGGAAAGACAGAGAGAAATATCAATGTGAGAGAAACACATAGATTGATTGTGTCCTGAATACACCCCAACCAGGGCCTGGGCCAGGGAGGAGCCTGCAACCGAGGTACTTGTCCTTGACCAGAATGGAACCTGAGACCTTTGGTCCATAGGCCGATGCTCTATCCACTAAGTCAAACTGGCTAGGGCTAGTTCATATTTCTAATGCTAGTTTTTATCATAATTTTGTTTATTACAGACATATGTCTCACACACATGCACAGACAGTTTGTGATATATCATTTTCCAAAAGTTAATTAATAGTTATCCAGTAGACGATATAGTAATCAACATCAAAGGCATTGTGTAGACTACTAAATATTATGATAAAATCTTTCTTCATCAACATTTACTTAGATTTACAGAGGAGAAAAAAAATTCAATTAGCTCCATGTTATCTCTATGCTCATTATACTTGACAGAGTATCTATTCTAATTGACAGTTCATAGGCTACACATTAGAAACACACCTATTAAGAATCACATGCATATAGGACAGTACTTGGTTCACTGTTAAGATAAAGCATATCCTAGAAATGAAAATAAACCTGTCTAATAATTTCAGCATACTCGGAGTCCTGTTTGGCATGTACGTTTTATGGTCTAATAAATCAAGTATTATACTCCTACTTTTAAAATTCCACTATCTACTCATTGTTACCAACTATTATTTACCTATTTTTACATTTATTTTTCTGAAAAAGATCTTTTAAGAGTCAGGAGCTATATGTTGAACCTCAACAGCCTACTCGAGTTATAAGGCTCATGTGTTTAGGTCGGCAGAGCCAAGTTCCCTGTAGAGCAGGCAGCACTGATGCCCTAGAGTCCTGCCCTCCCTTCCTCTCTTGGAACTTCCCCACGTAACGGAGACAGAACATGTGACTCTGTCTGAGACTTTCTAAGGTAAACTGAGTGGGAACCTGCCTCACAGCCTGCCGTAGGTCAGGGCCACGGTTCCCTGCGAGGATGAAATGGGTTGTGAAGAGGACTCTACAGCGCATTCCTGAGATGGTGCCCTGGACAGGAAGAAAGACATACGCCCACTAATTGAACTAGAGCTCTGGCAGGCTAAAAGTCTCATCACAAAGAACTGACGGGCTTAATAAGTAAACATGATTTTGGCAGTTTATATGAAAATGCATTTTGCTTTTATGTACTTACCAAAGGCACATATTTGTAATTAGTCATATTTTCAATTACTTTACTTTAAAGAAAAAATAAGGTACTTTCACAGGAACCAATTAGAGGGTTTGCGTAAATGACATTCATGATGATAACACAAATCATATTTAGAGTAAATTCTAAAATGAGAGTAAATAAAAGAGAAAAATGTTGATGCTGTAGGTAATAAAATTTTATGGGGCCTTGTTTGGCAGAGCACCGTAACTCAGGGCTGGCGCCGTCGCACAGCTGTGGCGGCGGGAGCTGTGGCAGGAACACTCACGGCCTGCTTTTCTGGCTCATATCATCATTTATTAGCTCCTAAGCAAGGCAAGTGGTAGAGTCCAGTGCTTTATAAGTTCTTCTTTTTAAAGGTTGTTGAAAGAAATTTGGAGTGAGGATTGACCTCTAACCTCAGTGGCATAAACTCGTTTCATGAAGAGACTGAATGACATTACCCTTTAGCTGTGATGATCTGTTTTCCATTCACTTGACCTTGAAGCCAAAGGGCAAAAGATAATGTAACCAAAGTATAACTTGAACATTTTTGTTTTAGTTGCTCCCCAGGAAACATTATTCCTTTTCCTTATTTTTATGTTCAAAGTAAAAAACAACAACAAACAAAACAAAACAACAACAACAACAAAAACCACGTAACTCCATTAGACAGGTCCTTTGCTTCTCCCCCAAAAGGATCGTTTTGTGACAACAGAGAGCCAATACTCACTGTAGAGAATAATAATGAAACAATTAAAAGCCTGAGCTATCCTAATTTAGGAATATTACACATAGCTTTCTGAAGGTATGTTGCATTTCACTATTTCTTGCTTACTATTATAAATATTCCATATAGGGAATGATCTGACCATATCATTACATGATCAATATTCATGTTCACATGATGTGCATAACAGGTGTTGAATAATTTGGATTTAATTTAAATGAACTGAACTTTATCTTCAGCAAAAAAACCCCACAAAAACACAAGGATGCAATAGTCACCATATTTTAGAATAAAAAGAATTTACATTGTTTTTACAGTTATTTGCTGGACTGCTAAACCCTTTGGGTTAAAATACTTTAATAATTAATTGATGTCCACTTACTTGCAAGATATATCATCACTGTCTTTATTTATAACACAGTGCCCGCCGTGGCATCTTATACATTTGTCAACCTCACATTTTGGTCCTTCATAGCGTGTTGGACAGACACAGTCAACGCTTCCGTCATTCCCAATAGTACAGGATTCAGAATTCACACAGTAGTGGTGACACACATCTATGAAGAATGCACAACAGAAAAATAAAATTATATTACAAGATATTTTTCTTCAGTCGCAATAAATGTTTCCATTTCATTTAATATTTAAAGTCAGTTGATCAATATGTAGATTAATTTAACAAAACAGCTTGTAATAACATGGAACTAGAAATTTCTAATAATGCTATTGATTTGATTCCTCTTTTTGCCTGAGTTGGGAATCATTTCAGCTGGCTAAGGGGAAATGGGTTATATGGATATAATGCTAGCTGACAAACTCTTTGGTTTCTGAATTTTAAAGTTTAAGTCAACAGGTTCCTTAGCTTTCCTTCTGGGGAGCAATATTAGTATTCTTCTGAAATGAGCAGAAATGCTCAAGTTTTCTTAGATGTTCCACTTTTCATCCAGAGAACAGGGTGGTGTATGGTGAATAGGGGACTCCTCCCTCTGCACCAGGCCTTGGTGTGATGGAGAGAAGCTCCCTGGACACGTGCCAGAGCAGGCCCAGTATTTTCTAAGACCTGGGTAGGTGGGCAGACAATAGGAGCATGGTGAATAGGGGACTCCTCCCTCTGCACCAGGCCTTGTTGTGATGGAGAGAAGCCCCCTGGACACGTGCCAGAGCAGGCCAAAGTATTTTCTAAGACGTGGGCAGGTGGGCAGACAATAGGTGCGCCTCTGATGAAACGCCAAGGGAAAGTGGCCTGGGAAACTGGCTGGTCCATCATGGGTGGGAAAGGACAGTGTTACGTCTAGTCTATTGTCCCCTCCCAGGTGAGAACATAACCTGCCCATCAGGCAGAGGGAAAGCCGTCCTGGAGTCTGAGCTCTTTGCTTTGAAAGAAGTTCCTTAGTGAGCATTACAGACAATTTCCTCAACTATGATGGAAGATGTCCTCAAATATTTGTTCCCATACCTCTTTTTTTTATATACCTCCTGAACATGAGTAATAAAAACAAAGATCATTTAGTGTGATAGCCACACTAATTCTGTAATTAGACATTCAGCCTCCGTCTTTTGAAAAGCAGACATGTCTACATGTATGTTTATGAATATATTAGAATTTACAACATTCAAAATGTTGACATTCACAATACAAATAATATTAAGCAAAGTAAATGATTAAATTGATACCAAAGTTGGGATTTGGAAGCAGCAATTTTCTTTTAGCTATCTAAAAGTGAAGCTATGTTAAATGAGATTAGCTGAGATAAAAATCACAATTTACAAACTTTAACCTGCTCAAAGACAATTTTAGTGGCTGAGACAAATTAAAACATAATTTATTATTCTCATGTTTATATATTTATTTAGCCCTTTATTAAATCAGACAGAAATTAAATTTATTGACAGACTTGCTTCATATTTATGGAAATTTATTTCATGCAATCTCATGCTTTCTGTTGCATTATGCCAAGTACCCACATTGATATTCAATGCTTATAAGAGTCTATACTTAACATGAGTTTTAGCTATACTCAAGAAGAGTTATATATTCAAAAGTGAAAGAATTGGAGATCTAAAAGTTAAATCTGTTTATTTGTACACAACATGCATTCTGTTTGCATTTAAGAAGAATGTATTAGCAATAACCTATATGATCATCTAGTACTGTCTCCAATTCATGCAAAATTCTTTAAAGAACAATCATTGGTCAGATTTCTAGATAACTCTTATTTACAAAGAACTCTTTTAAAAGTCCCCCAGTTGCTTTACATTTTATTATTTGGTCTTGGGTCAGCTTTCCATTGGAACACAGAAGTTGACTAATGTATCTTTCCAAATCTTCATATAATTTTCTTTATTCAGAAGTTTACAAAATGGTATTTCATCAGAATCATGTAGAGGACTTATTTGTAAGCACAGGTTTCAGTGCCTTTCCCTATGTGCCACCATCGCCCACCCCTAGATTCTAATTCATAAATCTGAGATGAGGCCCAGGTGATTTCCATGGGGCAGATATTAGGGAACGAGAGTTTGGGAACTGGAGAGTGTAAGAAATGATGATATGGAGGTAATATTACAGTAGCAGAGAAACTACATCTCTAATAGTTATAAATGATTTGATTTGACTTAAATAGATTATTTCTTGACTAACTTTGTGAGACCTAATTAAATGTAATTTTAAATCTAAAATCTTGAACCTCTTTGTTTTTATAACCACATTGCTGAGAAAACTTGAGAGACATTCTGAAGGTTGATGATTGCCCTATACCACACTATAGCAAGGAATAGTTTGCACTTGCCTATAGTGCTAAAGGGCAATGATAAAGACTTATCTACAATTCACCAATTATAAGTAATTTTTCTGCATAAATTAAATTTGTTTTAGAGTAAGCTTTAAAAGATGTGAAAATATACACAACTCGTAAGTAATCGAGGAAATAAAAATTAAAACTTCAAAAAATATCATTGCACACCCACCAAATTGACCACAAATAGCAAAAACTCTCATATATTGCTATGGGGACGTAAATTGGTTCAACCAATGTGAAAAAGTGTTGAAAGTATTTACTAAATTTGAACACGCCAACATCTTATGACCTAGCATTTCTACTCTTAATATACAGCCAAGAGAAAAGTAAACATATGTGCACATAAACTTGTACATAATGTGCATAGCAATCTGTTTAGATAGAACTATCCAAAACCTGAAAATAATCCAAATGTTATCACAAGAAAGATGGATAAACTTTGGTTCCCTCAAACAATGGAATAAAAATATAGATAGATAGATAGATAGATAGATAGATAGATAGAGAGAGAGATGATAGATGAAGTATGAAATATAAATGAGCCACACAAGAATAATACTGGAAGAAAAAACTGGACACAAAAATAATATACTACTTTTTATTTTTATACACTTCAAGAGGCAAAACTAATCTATGGTTTTAGAAATAAAAAAGGAGATATAATTGGGAAAAGAAAAGGGGGAGTAAATAAAAGTGGTAGACTAAAGGAAGACAGGTTAGAAGATCACATAGGTGATAGGAGACATTTTATTGGAGGGGAAGGAATAGGGAAGGGATTGAAGACAGAAGAGAGGAATGGAAGATTGAAAAGAGTACAGCCAGACTGGCCAGTAAGTGGCAGCAAGAACAAACAGTCTATGGAAAGGAAATTTATAAAAAGGAAAGCTGGTGGAACAACATGGTTGATTCTCATTTTGAACATGAGTAATTTAACCGTGAGAATAACATGGAAGCGGTGGATCCATAATTGATTATTTGCTGGGGACATGCATGTATTTAATTGGATACAGGGAGCTATAGGAACCGTAAATATATATATATATATCTATATATATATATCTATATAGATATCTATATATATCTATATAGATATAGATATATATAGATATAGACAGGACATCAGCACTCAGAGAGCAGATGATCCAATTGAAAGGCTAAGACAAGGAAAAATCAAGAAACCAAAATCAGTCTGAATAATGTCCACTATGCCAAGAACCAGCATATTTTACTACCAACAAAACCGTCCTTCTTGTGGGACATTCCATCTCATAAATTTTGAGCATTTTCTCTCCCTAAATAGCATAACAATTGAGATGCCCTGCATATGAAAAGAAGGAGCGATAGTGAAATGTAATTAACCTGTGCTAAGAAAGTATAAATTACCATTAAATATAATAACACTTTATATTCACAATATAAAAATTATTATAACCTCTATAGGATAATTACACTAAAAGTTGCATAAATAGTAGCAACAAACACAATCATGTAACCTAAAGAACAACACTGGATATGTAATTACAGAATATTCACATGGTAATTAAGTAGATGGAACTGGAGAATAAGTCAATGGCTATTTTCTGCAACAGAAATGAAGCATTTATCAAGGGAGATTATCATTGCACTCGGTCTCTCTCCGTTTCCCTCTTATTCTATCATTTCTTTTCAAGCATCCAGACATGCATGCAAGGGCATGCTTCCTTCGTTAATCTTCAAAACAGTATCTTAATAGACTGCATAAAAATATATGCATGTACGAGTATACATACAGGTTTATGAATATTCATGGAGACACAGATGTCTATAAAATCTCTGGCTGCATTTAACATTTTCCCCAAATATTTCTTTTTATTTAAAAGTAATTGCCAAGACTATTTAGCTATTAACTTATATTTGTAAATGGGCCATTCAATTGTAATCATTCGTGAAGTGTGAAATTGATTTAAAGAGAAGAAAACCAAACTAAAATAATACTACCTAAACAGGAGCTGAAGAAACTCAGTAAGAATAATGGGGAACCTGAAGATTCTTTAACTGGTGATATAGAATGGTTATATAGGGGAGACTAAATTATACAACTACATGTATGTACCTCAATTGTTCTACTTCAGGGAATTTTGGCCTGGCCTTAACAGAAAAAGTTCTGTGAATTGGCTTTAAGATTAATAATTTAAACAAGCCTTTGATTAAGTCCAACCAGGGCCTGGGCCAGGGACACACACGCACACACACACACACACACGCACACACACACACGCACACACACCAATAAATTAACAGTAGAACTGATCACTTTCACAAAGAAGACTAGGTAAGTTCCACAGTGCATATCCCTAGACATCCCGGAACTGAACTCCAGTTTCAGTGCAATTCACACTCCAGGCTTCACTGTTACTCAGTTGTGTGCCAGGAGGAACAGGCCTATGAATTCTGCTAATATTCTTCCTTCATGAGGTGTATGGCTGCTTTTATGTATGTATGAAATGGAGGAGAATTTCCAAGACAGTATTTTATAAACTTTAGATGAATACTTATATCAGGGAGACATAATAAGAATAAGAAATAAACAAAAACATTGGTCAGAATATGAGGGATTTGGAGGTTAAATTCAGTCCTTTTTCTGGCTAATGGTGTCATCTCATGTGACTTGACTTATGTCTCCAAGACACCCTTTGGTCATTTTTGAACAGAGGCTGTATTACTGAATATGCTTAAGAGTATATCATGACTCCCTCCTCACTCACCCATCCTCTATAATGGCC